TACTCAGCTTCAAAGAGAAGTCATTTCTAGTGTAAAATAAATGACTTAGAGTAGAGTTAGCCTCCTCAGGAAGTCAACTGCTGAGAACCACTCTCCAGAAGAACTAGGCCCTAATTGGCATGCATTACCTGCTCCAAGAAGCATGACAAATTAGAGACATGTGCCCAAGTGGAGTTTAGAATTCAAATTCGCCACTTTGCACCTCTCATTTTCCTTCTGTTTTGATTAGGAATGGCTTGCCATTGTATATTGGATGAATATGAGGAATAAAACTTGTTTCTTTAGTTAATACATGTCATGTTGAGAGGAACTGCTGTTAGGGTGAGTGTACTTGATGCTGATTTCTGGGCCTTCTGCTTAAAACTGATGCTACATCCATGCTTTAAAGTTGTCTTGAGAGGTGGTAGATGCATTCACCATATGTCAAGCACAAGATTGCTATGGCAAGAAGGTTCATAATGGTAACTAACCTCCATTGATAGTTACCAACAAGTGTTGGGAGCCCTCATAGCATAAAGTGTGGGGACTAGGGAAACATGAGTGTTGTGGATGGAAGACTGGTCATGGCCGAGAGATTGATCAGCACAGGCTGGAATGCTGGCTGTGTACAAACCAATGTGTACAAACCAGTATGTTCTATCTCATGTCAATGAACAGCTTAGAAAAAAACCATTTGCTAACACAGAATCTTTGCAGTGAATGTGTGCCAGAAATATGCTAAATACTTAGAAATAAGAAAATGAACCACTGTTCTGTAGTTCTGCCCTACCTATATCTTTCTTTGTAACTTTGTTGTTTCTGCAAATAAAAGCTGTGGTGCACTGAGAACAGAATGAGACTGGGAATCTCTCTCCCTAGCCCCCCTTTCAAACCAGACGCATGCCTGTGACAAACATATACCTGTTTGTGTCATCATGCCCACTGAGAGATAAAGGTGTTTTTCCCCTTGGCCTTAAATCTGTACTGGCCCGGTAGATTACTTTGATGAATACAATGTAGTGGAATCAATATTCTGAGACTTCCACGTCAAGGCCCCCAAAGGATTTTCTATATTTCCCACTTATCTGGGAACACTCATTATTTCTTGGATCCTGGACATCCTAAGAAGCACCATAGGTCTGAAGCATCAAGAGGGGTGAGAACAGGGTGGATGCAGTGTGAGAGTACAATGGACTATGGTGGAGGACTATGGGTTTGTGATGGGAGAGGTATGATAAGCACACCTAAAGGGAGGCAGCTATACTCTCAATTTATTAATGATGTTGTCTTTGGAGTTGAAAGTGGGGCTCCTGAGTTCACTTTGGAAAGGATAGCAGAAGTCTGCTTTCACCAGCAATGGCAAGTTCCCAGGCAAATTTTTCCGTGACACAGAGACCTGCCCCCGAAAGGGCAGGTTTATTATAAAAAGCAGAGAATGAAGGGCACTTGCATAGACACAAACAGGCAGAAAGGGCTGCCCCGAGAGGGACAGGTTTGCTGACAGAGGCCTGCATGGTCACAGGGGGCCAGCCTTGAGGACAGCAGCCTCTGCTGAGGGCGGTCAATGTAGAGAAGCCCCAGTATGGTACAGGTCACAGGTAGTAGACTGGTGTCTGAAAGACCATCGTCTGCTCTTTGGCAGACTGAACAAAAAGGGGAAGATGGTCACTGGTTTGCATGGCATTTTGAGGTCAGCTCGGGAAAACTGGGAGATGGGCCAGGGTTGGCACCAGTTCTGCTTTGTTAACATCTCCATATTATCTTTTTAGGAATGTTCTTTCTTTTCCTTAGGATGTAGGAAGACAAATTGTTAAATGCAAGAGACAGGAATGCTCACTGGTAGAAGAGAGACCTGTTTATTTATCACTGCATCACTATTACATGGAATGGCTTGAGATTTGCTTTATTTATTCCTTTATTTCTTAGGTTATTCTCCCCGGTAAATTGCAAAAACCCACTTTTTTATTTTCTTGTCAATGAACATTTGGGCGGCTACAGACTGGGCTGCCTTGAACATTCTTACACACACTTAAAAAACATATGCAAGAATATCTCAAGGTATATCTGTAGAATGATTAGGTATTAGAGTATGTGAATTCTTTACAGAAAATCAAATTGCCTTCCAGATTATCAGTTTACAACCCCACCTACTGATGTCTTCTTCATGCACATCTTCATTCGTGTTGCCAAATTTCTAAAAATTAAACAATTACATCAGCTTATTGTAAAATTATATTCATTTTGGTCTTCGTTACTTAATATCTTTACACATTTTCAGTCAGAACCTCTGAAAATATCTGGCTTATAAAAAAATCCTAGAAATATAACTTCAGAATAAGGAGTAGTATCGGGGAGGGACACAGAATGGACAAGGGACCCAATGACCTGTGGCGGAAGACTGGTGTTTGGTGACATGCAAATGAAGAAATGTAAACCTATTATCCCAGATCACACATTGTGTAAACCGATGTTACCGTAAAAAAAAAAAAAAAAAGTTGCAGAAAAAAATCTTGATTAAGTGAAAATACCTAGTTTAATGTCCTTTGGCTCATTTTTCTACAGGACCATGATGAAGTGGTGATAACAGTGGCATATGTGTATTCTTGATTTAAAAAGCATAGAACTTAGTGATGATTTATTATCCTCCCACATAATGTTGAATTCCACTTAATAGTGCTTGAATTTCATACCTGCATTAAATGCTATTAACCTGAAGTTTTCTACTATTGAGTATCTAACTTATTATTAGTAAAAATTAAACTGTCCTTATAAAGTGAACTGGTCATTCCCTCATTATCTATTTTTTTTTTTTGAAGAGTCTAGAAAATGTTCAAATAACTAGTTAAGTTTCTTGAAAGAGCAGTAAAACATCTGTAAATATGGTCTATATGTTCTGTCAATTTACTTATTCTTTAAGATTTATTTATGCATACAAGAACAAGGCCAGAGGTGTGGCTGAAGGCGGGTAGTGAGTACATTCACCAGTGACAGAGTGGGGAGCAGAACAGGCAGATGAGCTGAAATACACCGCTGATAGGGAGCAGTGGGTAGGTCAGGAGAGGTCTGCCACGCCATGTGGGTCACCTCCCTGAGGCTGGGGATTGAATTTGTGCTACAGTGACTGTGGACAGCTTGATAGTGCTGCATTTTAACCCATTGGCTACTTGGGAGGACCCTGTCGATTTATTTTTGCTACTCAGTATTAATGAATATGTCTATGGATCTTGCCCATTTCTTTTGGAGCCAACTTAAGGAGTCATATTTTCCTAGACCATTGTCTATTTTTGTGTGTTGTCAAGTATGTTAAGATGCTCCTTGTAGTCTCATCTCAGGAGAACCTATGGGTTGTAGTTGACTTCTCTATCATTTTCATCTTGTTCTATTATACCAATTGTATTGTTATGTATTGTATTGTAATACCAACTGTATTGTATTATCCCAATTATATTGTTATGAAAGCACCTTTGACACCATGATTCTAGTTCATTGATTTCTTCCTGTGAGCTATCTCTTTGCACTTACATTGTCTTGTTTTTTACTATGGTAAGTTACACATCTTTTCCTTAATTTAAGCACTTAAGTCATTTCCCTTAAAGTGCTTTTCTGTTACATCACCTAATTTTTGCAGAGGTAGTATTTATAATTAGGACCTAGTTACATGCTTTGTTCTTTCAAATCTATCAAGCTTTATAACTTGTGAATATATTTAAGAGTGCTGAAGGCTGCTTCCCTATAAAATGCTAATAATAATTTAAACTTTACTACTGACCTAATTTCTGATTATCCATTTAACACCAATCTTTGAGATTTGTGTTTTTTAAAAAAATATTTCCATTAAGGCCCTCCCTGGTGGCGCAGCCGGTTAAAGCACTGCACTAAGAAGCTAAAGCCACTTCAGCATGAGTTCAATCCCTGCCCCGGAGGTGACCATATGGCGTTGGCAGACCTCTTCTGACCCGCCAGCTGCTCCCCTCAGCAGTGTACTTCGTCGATCTGCCTGTTCTGCTCCCCACTCTGTCCTGGTGAATCCTCTCACCCTCCGCATCTCTGGCCTGTACCCCAGTTCTGTATGAATAAATGTTTAAAAAAATATATTTCCATTGAATCAATGTTGCTTTTCTCAGAATTTTGAAGGTATTATTCTGCCTTTTGGGGGGTACATTGTTGTTATTGAGAAATCTGAGTATTTATCTTGCCTTTAATGATGATGTTTTCTCTGCTTTGATTGCTTTTAAAATCTTATGCTTGGCATCATCTATTTACATTATATTGGGTTTAAGCATGGATTTAATCTACATATGTATTTGGGACATAATTTTCTTTTTCAGTACATGAATTCATGTTCTTCAGCCAAATGTGGAAATTGCTGTTCTCTCTTCAAATCTTACTTTTCCATTTTCTCTTCCTACTACATCATAATAATTCTTTCAATTTCAATTCTCTTTATATTTTCTAGTTCCTCACTTCTCCTTACTACTGTGTAATTTCTTTAGTTATAGCTTCCAGTTTATTTGTAATTGAGTCTAATATAATACTAACAAGTCTGAGGTATTTTTATTTCTTTTTTCAAGTAATATATTTGTCATTTCTAGCAGTTCCATTTTTTTTTTTTAGATGAGCTTATGGTTCTGTCATTTATGTATGTTGGTAATGATTTTCAAGTATTTAATCAAAATTGGTTGTTTTACAGGTTCTTTCTCATGCTACCTCCAACTTGTGTCTTGTGATCTGAAATTATGAAATATTGCCTGGTCTTTATCTATGGGATTCTGTCACCTAAATTAGGTAATCTTGGCCTATATATAAATATATATACATATATTTTTAAGGATTTCTTTATTTATGCATATAAGAACTGGAGTATAGGCCAGCAGTGAGGGGGGTAAGAGGATAGCAAAATCGGCAGATCCACTGAAATACACTCCTTAGGGAAGCAGCAGGTGAGACAGAAGAGGTCTGCCATGCCATGTGGGTCACCTCCCTGGCCGGGAATTGAACTTGTGCTGCAGGGGCTACAGATAGCTTCACAGTGCTTTGCTTTAACCTGTTGTGCAACCAGGGAGGGCCCTCGACCTATATTTTACTTCTACCATTAACTACAGGGGAGCTGAGGGCCATTTCACTGTCACTGGTGGGAGATCAGATTTCAAATTTCCCTCTTTTCTAGTCCCAGACAAACTGCATATGGTGTTACTATTTAGCAACTGGACAAGAGTCCACCTGTATGCTTAATACTATCATCCAATGCAAAATGTGCTCCTTTGTGGCAGACAAAAATAGAGGTATGGCACTTGAAAATTCCCTATTTTCTTTTAGTCTACTACTAATGCATTCAGAAACAGATTTTATTCAGGATCTAGATGTTTTTTTAAGTAACTAAACTAATGTAGTTGGAAGCAAAAGTCTTCATGTATTAAACAGTATGACAAAGTAACCTTAAAAAGCATATAATTTATATCAATCATTTCTGATCAAACTTCTATGTAAAAGTATCTTGGAATTGAGTGTACATTAGAGAGATCATCAGTAGTAATTTACCCAACAGGTTGTTGTCTGGAGAAATTTCTCTTATGGCTCTATTATTAAGATATTCAGTCAAATAATTTTCAACATTCTGATAAATATGTGATCCACATCCATAGGACTAAAATCTGTGAAAATAAACCATCATTTTGAAATGAAAAAAAAAAATAGGTAATTGTTACATGCAACTCCCTTTTAGATGCATATTTTTATTTTTGGAAGCCTGGGCCACCTATAATATAAGCAAAGCTAAACAAGGCAGCTGGTGATTTCATTTTTAGGCATTACGGCAGCAGATCTGGCTGCTATTGTCTTAAGTGCAGATGGATGGTTTACATCTTTATTATTCATAATTGCTGGTCACTGTTCTCTGGTTGATCAGGAAGCTCTCTGTGCCTCACCCTAATCACTGAAGTAATGAAAGGAGAGACCCGCAGCAAGGACTGCAACTGCAAATGCTGCAATCACACCTAAAAGTAAAACAAACACAAAACAAATGGACATGGAATGAGCAAAAGAAAACTTGGCTGATCTTAGTCTCTGAAAGGTGGTTAGCTGACAGGCCTAAACAACAACAATAACACACACAAATACAGATGCTTATATACACATAAATGTGCACCAAAAGCTAGCAAAATCTTGGAGAAAAATATATAACTAAGTTGAAAAAACAGACTGGTAAAGTTCAACTGATAAATATGTACTTTTCCACTCAAGCAAAACTTTTAAAAAAATGATGTAATTCTTATAAATGTCTATATGCCACCACACCTAAGAGAAAATTAATACATCTTTTAAAACTGGGCACATCAGTTCTGAAAACACAGGCCTTTTCTACTATTGATTCTACTAACTCGGTAAGCTTTTCTAAGAACACAAATGAAATTATTTTAAAAACTTCTATAAATACTTATAGTGATATTCAGGTGTATCATGTTAAACCACTCAAGACACAAAACGGCAGTGGTCCTCAATCCTTACAACACAGTCATTTATACAGCTGCTGGAAAGTGCAGAAGCTCAGATTCTAAGGAAGGCTGGGTTGGTAACTTCTATTTTTATTTCTTATTATTGTAAATCAAAAAAAAAAAATCACAATAGTACACACACACACACACACACCCCTACATGGTACAAAGAATTCAGGAAATTAACTTTTTTTATTTGATGAGTGACAAGGAAACTAAAGCATCTGATTTCTCTCAATCAAAAGTTTTAATACTTGACAGCATTTCTCAAATTGGGCTTCCACTAAACAACAATCTTCATATGGTAAGTTGGAAAAATGTTGAATTGACTGCTATACTTCTTGGAGTCTTTAAAACGCTTATTTACATTATAAATTTATAGACTTGTGTTTGACTTTTTTCAAACAAAATCTTCTACAATAGGAATCCTGCACATACCAGTTTGGAAAACACTGACTTTTTCTACTATTGATTCTACTAACTCAATAAGCTTTTCTTAGAAAACAAATGAAGTTTGTTTTGGAAAACACTGACTTTTTCTATTATTGATTCTACTAACTCAATAAGCTTTTGTAAGAAAGCAAATGAAGTTATTAAGAAGTGTCACCTTTGAAGGCATTTGGAATCTGCATTACTTATAAATTGCTTGTAAATCTATCTGCAGAACCTGACATTTTTCCATAACACCCAGTAAAGGCTATCTTAATCTAGTAATTTTAAGAAAGCAAAATGAAACAAAATTTTAAAATATAAGAAAATTCAAATCCAAAATATCATCTTCTCAACATTATAAAATAATAATAAAAAAATACCTATGTGTTGCTGAATTTTCAATACCATTGTAGTTTTAATTGGTTGTTTTGGCTGTTCATCATCTGTGTTATCCAATGAAGGTTCAGTATTTATAGAGGAACTGACACATACTGTAAGAGGATAATAACAATAAACCCTAAATAAAATATGGATAATTACCATTTTAAAATGAATTTTAAAGAACATTAGAAAGAATACACACTGTGAACTCCATTTTCCTTCTACTTGAGTTTTTTAATAACAGTGAATTTGTTCATTATCAAATTAGATGAATAAATTTTTGTGGAATACATATCAAACAAACATATACCTTATGGACATCTCTCCTGCCCACCTATGAAGGTACCTCTCTTTTACTTTTTCCTTTTCCTAATAAACATCTCTATAAAATGTGAAAAAAATAAATATATATAAAACATTTTATGTAGTTTTATAAGTGACCCAAACCAGACAGTCACAGAGTCAGTTCTGAATGACTCCCACAATTTATAATTTACCTTTGGTAGTAAAGATAAACTAATACCAAAATTCAAACCAGATCATAGTTAGATAACCTTCACTCTTAATCTGGGTAAGTTTTTATCACTCATTGGTGGTTTTAGCAAACAGTCATTTCAAATTAGATTCATGTAATGTGCTGTTATACAATTTGCATTATGCTGACAGCAATTCATGGAAGTTGGCTTAGTTGAATTTCTTTAACACAGATTAAAAGTGTTTGACCCTAAAATATCCTGAGATCACATATGCTAGTGGTTATCAGTACCTCCCCACCCCCTTACTGCTGAAGAATCTGACAGAAAACCTCAATATGAAAAATAGATGAGAGTAGAATTACTCTGGTTGAAGCAAGGTTGAAGGTTCCTGCAATCAGTTTTCCTATTTCTCATAGGAAGTGGTAGTAAAGTGCTGTTCTATAGAACTCTAGAGAACTAATTAGAAAGTAACTACTTCATGTTGATCCCTCTATTTACAAAGACAAGAAGGAAGTACAGACTGAGATAGTAGATCCTACAGTTTAAATTTAATGTTTGGGGATTTAGAAAGTTCAGGCAGACAGCTCTATATTCCAATATGCTAACATTGGCTTATAAGGATGATACATAAATTCACTGAAACAATTAATCTATGGTACCAAATAGATGAAAGAAAAAGAAAAAAGTAAACTACTTCTCATCATATGCCTTTGAAGAAAGGTAAACCAAGACTTCAGAAATAATTCTTAGTAACTACTTCATTAGAATCAAGAACCTGACCATCAATTTCCCCCACAACTAAAGAATTAAAAAATACAAAACCCTTTTTCATTTTTTTTTCTATTCCTTTATCCCTAACAAAGTTTTATTAAGAACATTTTTTCTAGAACTATTCAGTATTCTATGTTTCTACAATTTATGGTTTTCTCAAGGGATATAACACATGAGTTCTAGACTACATTAGTCCATCAGCTTCAAATCTCCCAACTTCATTTATGGGTCTAGGAGTTTAATGTGTTGTTATATTCATTTTAAACACACACACTTTGAATTCTCTATTAGCAAGTATTACTGCTAGAAAGTTTTTTCTTTGGGCCACTAAAATCCAGAGATAACAAAAGTACTAGATAAAGATGAATTACATCTGTTTGCTACAGGAATATATTTAACTCAAGCACCTAGATGTAAAGGACACAAAACTGGTTTTGTCATGATATATTGCTTAAACAATTAATAGTAATTTTATATGTGAAATTCATGTTTCAGTACATCCTGTGCAAATAATTTACTTCAATAGAGAGACATTCATTTCTGTGTTATTATTTTTAAATGTCATAAAAATCATCTTGATTTTTTGACATAAACGGGAGATAATTTTACCAAAGCTGACAATTTCTCAAGATGAGTAAGACCCCATTAAAACAATTTGTCTGTTTGTTTTTGATGGGGGTTTGTAGGATTTTGATACTATGTAATTTCACCAAAACTTTTAAGTTACATAAAATTTAAATGCAAATAATATGATTTAATATTACATTAGATGTCAGCTACTTCTTAAAACCAGGCAATCTTAACTACTGACAAAACCCAAATCAATTATGTAGGAAAATAACCTTGACTAACTGTCACCAAATGAGAAAACAAGGACCTTAGGAGTGCAGACTGACATGCAGGTATGTTCTGATTCTATTTCGGGCTTTTGAGAGGAAGATGGGACAATTCAGCATATTAAAATGAGACTTGAACTGATCAGCTATTTTCTTCCTTACCACTGAATACCAAATTAATGAGGTTACACTATAATCAATGATTTAGCCAGAAAAGTATAGCATTTACTTATTTTTCCTATAATGAAATTAACAATGTTTAACCAAATAAAAAAATTAATTTCAGCTCTGATAATCAAGGCAGAATAGGCAAAGATGAATTTAACCAGATTTTAGAAGTTTTTCAAATTTTTAAGTTGACGCTGTGAATAAAACACATCTAAATTGTTCATTTCTACTAGGATGACTAATGCATCCAAGAAATTTTAAACTCATCCCTCATCTTAAGTGAGTCATTTTGACAAATTGTTCTTCATCCCTTAAGTCATTTAGAATGATGTTATTTTAAGATATTTACTTGGCAAATATGTACTTTTAACATAGCAACTATTTGGCAACTGTACTGCAGAATAGAAATAAATAACAGTCAGTCAAATAATAACATTAAATCTAAAAAAAATAAAGCTAGATACTTACAACAAGCTTAATGTTCTTAAATGTATAATAATAGATTTTAATTTTTGAATTTGAACATTTGAACTCCTTTTTAATGGTTTATTTCATATGGAAACCTAATTTGAAATATTCACAAAAATCTAGATATATATAAAACATTACTTTCATATTAATATTTTTCATTACAATTTAGAAGTTTCACTATACTTTGATAATAAATTTTACTGATTCACTATTAATTTACAATATTATATAGTTTTGGAGGTCGTTTCATCTCATTTTACCTACCAACAACATTCTGATGTCATTCCTACTCTCAGGTGATGCCTTCTACCTTCTCTTCCCCTCCCCTCTGGTATGCTCTCTATTATTCACTGACTCAAGAGATATTCTTGTAATTTGTTAGTTAATTTGCTTTGGTTATTTACAATCTACATATAAGAAACCATCTGGTTATTGTCTTATTTTTTAACTTATTTTGTTTTGCATGATCATCTGAAGTTTCATACAAGCTATTCCAAAAAGCATCATTTTACCCTTTTTAACTGCTGAGTAGTGTTCTATTGAGTATGTGGACCACAACTTCTTTACCCAGTTATCCATTGATGGGGATTTACACTAATCACATCTTGAATATTGTGAATTAAGTTTCTACTGACATAGGGGTATATAAACCTTTTCAAATTAGTGTTCAAATCCTTTGAATAAATACCTAGGGGTGCTACTGCTGGATCATAAGGTATTTCCATTCTTAGATTTTAAGGAATCTCCATACTGTTTTCCACACCAGCTGCTCCAATTTACATTCCTACTAATAGTGTATTAAGTTTCCTTTGGGGGCTACAATTTTGCCAACGCATGTTGTTTTCAGTCTTTTTGATGTAGAAAATTCTCAAAGGTATGAGATGATGTCACACTGTAGCTTTGGTTTGTAGTTCCATAATAGTAAGTGAAGCTGAGCATTTTTTCATGTGCCCGTTAGCCATCTACATACAGAAGGTTCCTTAGTGCAAAATCTTATCATAATGCTAGCTAATATTACCCAACATTTATGTATCTGTTTATAAACCATTTCCCATAACATTTTACTAAACTCTTGCCTATTTCTGCTTAGAAGCATAATTATATGAAAGAGCTAGGAAAATAAAGGCAAACAGTATAGAAAAGAAATTCAATAAAGACTTTTTGAAATTTTGTGATATGATATTTAGCTAAATAATTAATAGTAACAATGGGTTTTGAGAAAATTTTTTTTATATAATAAAAATACCTTAAAGTTATATATTTCCAGCTACTTAAGGCTGCACTTATTTTGTGAAGCACTATTTACTAGGGTTGGAAAAGCCTAATCTTAAATGTTGGCACAATTTTCCATGAAAAATACTGCATATTTACAAATATAGAAATTAAACATTTTAAAATGGTTAGCGTGTCAAACAGAACCAGTTTTAAGGAAATTTAAAAAACACAATATTTAAACTAGATGTCTAATAATTTCAACTACAGTAAATTCAGGTTCTTAAGTAATACCATATAATTACCTGTGTTTATTTCCTCAGCAATTTCCAAATCTTCTAGTTGAATTGTATGATCTAACATTTCTCTAAAATGGTCTTTGATTTCTTCAGCTGACTCATCACCAAATTTATAGTCACATAACATTACAGAGGATCCTGGAATGGGGACAAAAACTCGGAGAGGAAGAATGTGGAACTCTTTTCCAGAATCTAAAAAGAAAAGGAACATTATCAATATTTAGATAGGTTTGCCACTGGAATTAGTAATAGATATTTGATAAGGATATGAAAGCACCTAGCATATGTAAAATCTAGGCCTCCATGACTGTGCATGGGCTAAAGTCTCAGTGCTATGAAGCTACTGACAACCATTGAGGTATGAGTTAGATCCCTGGCCAGGGAGCTGACCCAGAAGACACAGAAGAACTCTCCTGTTTCATCCACTGCTCCCCTCAGCAGTTATTTCAGTAGATCTGCTCTAGCCTGTATTATTCCCCACTCTGGTGAAATCCTCTCACCACTCCAACTTTCACTGCCTTACCCCCATCCTCTCTCTGACCTAACCCCATTGTATGCATAAATAAATAAAAATAAAGTATTAAAATATATGTATTTTTAAAAAGGCCTTTTCATTTTCTAAGAGCTGTTCTTAATGAATTCTGTTTTATCTTAACACAGCTGGTCTCTACAACAGACCCAAATGAAAATCCTATAAACAAATTTATTGCTACCTTAAGGGAAAGGATTCTATTGAGTGTATATTCCTGTATTACCTGGTGTCCTTTGAAGGACTATTCAAGAAAGAATTATGACCCTGGTCTTAGACATTGTTGTCTTTCTTGTTTTAACCTTACTAGTACTGAATTTTCTAAATGAATCTTGCCTTTTTTATGCAAGTAAGGCATAAATGAGTGGCCTACCTACATCAAGCATATACATGATAGCATTCACTATTCCATGAATCTCTACACTGGCTTCATCTATCTAGATGCTAGGTATCAAGTGGGTATAAGTCATCAAGACATGATTTTGTACACTAACTTCCCAATCAGCTCCATCTTGTTTTATTTTCTCTTTTCCTTATAATATTTAACACTCCTTATTAATATTTAATTTTATCTTGACAACTTGTAATGCCTATTTGTAAAAAGCCTTAAGTCATTTTTTAAGGAAAAAAAAATCTGCAATTAAATAACACCTATATTTCATTCTTTGAATACTCACAAAGTAGAGCCTATTTCTTCCCATTTCTAATAATCAGTGCTATATAAAAACATAGGTGTTTGGTTTAACATGATTCTAATGAACTATTAACAGAAAGAAATAGTTTTTGTATAAAGAATGATCTTTTTCAGCAACAGACATGATTTAGAAAGAAACAAATGATGAACAAAACTACTATTTTACTACTGAATTAACTACTGTTATTCTAACAGTAACCTATATTTCCTTATTTAAAAAATAGTGGTAGCTTTATGTAACTATAAACAGAGGATGATGAAGAATGACTTAAGTGTCTCAGGAGATGCTGTAGCTTGTTTTCATATGAGAACTAGGAGTACAATTTTACTCTTGATCAGAGTGCCTCCTAGTTAAAAATTGCATTATTACAATTTGTACTATAGTGCATCAATTTGTCCACATACTGAAATGGATATATGTTTTACTTTGGGCCATAGTTCTTTAAATACAAAGTTCAAATCTTTCAAAGATAGCTATAATGTGCATGTATAATTGAAATATAAAATTTCAAAACTATTTCTGCCTCAATTCTAGGTTTGCTGTTCAAAAGATATTTTATTTGTATTATTAAGCTTGCAATTTAACTTTCTGTCATATCTGAATAGCAACTAACATGTTACTGGACTACTTTCCTGTTAATGAAGTTAAAATGTGTATATTTATACTTTTTAAAAAAATACAATACCACTTTCCAAAAATTATTGTTAAGGAATATTAAAGACAACTAACATAAAGTAGTTTTCCTACTCCATTATTTCTAATATAATAGCAACTACCACCACTTACTAAGATTGGCTTACCAATTTTGTTACGGACTTTAAAAAAAAAAAGGCTACCACAATCCCTATTTTATATAGAAGACCCAAGACTCTTACAGTGGAATTGCCTGTGTATAGTTACCCTGGCACTAACAGAATGGATACAGAACTCAGGAATTTCAAGATTTTTGCTCTTCCACCAAGCTATACTGCCTACTCTTTCACACAAGCCACAAAGGCCACTCAATTACCAGTGAGGTTTTTCCCTTCTATTTTAAAAAAATTTAAAATGAGGTTATAAGGTTAACTTTTCTTTTTGTTTTATCTTTTAAATTTTTTTTTACATCGTTCTTCATTTTGTGCATTTTTTTCCATCTCAGTTGTAATCCCCATGGGCTTCCCACCACCAATTTACCCATGTGCTAGCACCACAGTCCAATGCACTCTTCCTACCCCAGTTCCGATCCTATTCCCCCTCACTGCCCCCATAAAATGTCTCTGGTTTATAGTTGTTCACTGTTTCCATTTTTTTACTCTATTACATTTGTTTATCTCCTTTCCTCCCACCCCCAATCTCTTATGCTCCTGCTGCTATCAGTGAAATCATCCGGTCTTTTTTTCATTCTGGCTTGTTTCACTAAGCATGATCCCTTCCAGCTCCATCCATGTTGGCAGCAAAAGGCATGAATTTATCTTTTTTGATTGCTGATAACGTTAATTTTTAATAAATCAAACTTAATGTACAAATAACACAACTATCACTAGAAGCACCTAACCTTACTAAATATAAAACAATACCAGGGAATGGTGTAGTGGGTTAAAGCACAGCACTAAAGCTAAAGCCACTTCAGCATGAGTTCAATCCCTGCCCAGGAGGTGACCCACATGGCATGGCAGACCTCTCCTGACCTGCCCACTGCTCCCCTCAGTAGTATACTTCTTTGATCTTCCTGTTCTGCTCCCCACTCTGTCTCTGGTGAATCCTCTCACCATATCTGTGCCTCTGGCCTGTACCCCAGTTCTGTATGCATAAATAAATAAAAAATCTTAAAAGAAATAATAATACCGGGGCACGGCCCTCCCTGGTGGCACAGTGGGTTAAAGCACAGCACAAAAGAAGCTTAAGCCACTTCCATATGAGTTCAATCCCCACCTGCCCTGGAGGAGATCCACACGGCAAGGCAGACCTCTCCTGACCCGCCCGCTGCTCCCCTCAGCAGTGTACTTCATTGATCTGCCTGTTCTGCACCCCACTCTGTCTCTGGTGAATCCTCTCACCCTCTGCATCTCTGGCCTGTACCCCAGTTCTGTACGAATAAATCTTTAAAAAAAAAAAAAGAAAGAAATAATAACACCAGGGCAGTTACATAATACCATTTTATGAAGCATTCTGAAATGTAACAGAGCACTTAGCAATATTCTAGTATCTAGTATGTGATAAAGTAGATCTTTGACACTAATGGGGATATATCCCCATGTCCTCAAAATCCCAAACTTTATAATTTAGCTATTACACAAAATGTTGCTCACGAAAGTGAAGTAAATGCTTAAAGCCACAAGAGTTATCACATACACAAAGTCAAGGACTAAAAACCAAGTCACACTGAGACGGTAGCCTCATCAGGGTAGCTTTGTTTTTGCTGTAAGTTTGGGTGCTTAAGTGATCGGGTCTGGTAACTTTCCAAAATTTCAACCTAATGTCTGCACATAAGATTCAAACTCAGGTTTCAAGCAAAATTATATGGTACTAATAGGAGGAAAGCTAGGGTTATCTGTGAATTATGGGAAAGGCAATTGTTAAGTCTGAAAAAACTAGAGGGTAATTATTATAGGAGTATAAAAAGAATTACTTTGGGGCCTCTTTGATGGCCCAATGGTTAAGTCTCCGTACTATCACTTCTATAGCCGGAGTTTAATCCCCAGCCAGGGAACTAAATCACATATGGCACAGCAGACATCTCTAGTGACCCACTCAGCAGTGTATTTCAGTAGATCTGACTCTGGTGACTCTTCTCATCCCCACCCCCAGCACCTCAAGCTTATACCTTAGTTCTTCTATGCAAAAATAATATTTTTTTTTTTAAAAAGGACTGGTTTGTTATCTGAGCCTACCAAAACCTTACATAATAATCACTATCAGTAATACTATAAATATTAGTTATATAGAGGAGTCATGCTTTTCCCTACAAACAATAAAATATTCCCTGCAAAAGCTAATCATTCAACTTTCAACTGTCACTCCACTCATACCTGAACAGTAGGAAGGGGAAGATATGTGTGCTTCAAAAAGCATATTCAGTATTATAATTTTCTTTTTTAGTAAAAAAAATAGTTTCAATACAAATTATTGAAGTGTAATTAGACATTTATATTTCTCAATATATGGAATAGTTATAAAGTTAAAATAACACGTGTTAGCTATATTTAAACTGACCAAAGCCTACAAAGTATAAAAACTAAGTATAGAAAGAAATATCACCAAAAGCGATATACAGATTAAACACCATCCCAACAAGTCTCAATGACATTCTTCAAAGAAATAGAAAAAAATATTGATGAGATACATATGGACCTCAAATAGCCAAAACTCTTATGACTAAGAAGAAAGAGAATGGAGGCATTATAATCCCAAACTTCAAGCTGTACTACAAAGCCATAATAATCAAAACTGCATGGTACTGAAACAAAAACAGATATATAGACCATTAGATATGGATAGAAAACCCAGATATAAACCCACAGGTTTATGGACAGCTAATCTTTGACGATGGAGCCAAGAAGATACGATGGAGCCAAGAAGATACAATGCAGCAAAGAAAGTTTGTTCAGCAAATGGTGCTGGGAAAACTGGAAAGCTACATGCAAAAAAATGAAACTAGATCACTACCTAACACCACACACCAAAATCAACTCAAAGTGGATTAAAGACCTAGACATAAGAATAGAAACCATAAAATACCTGGAAGTAAAAATGGGTCAAACACTACATGACATACACTTTAGCAACATCTTTAAAGACACAGCACCCAAAGCAAAGATAGTGAAGACAAGGATTAATAGATGAGACTACACAAGTTAAAGAGCTTCTGTACAGCAAAAGAGACATTACAAATGACAAACAGACATCCCACTAATTGGGAAAAAATTTTCTCACACAAAACTAGTGATAGAGGGCTGATCACAAAAATATATAAAAAACTGATGAAACTCAACAAAAATAAACAACCCCATCAAAAAATGGGCAGAAGAACTAAAAAGACACTTCTCCAAAGAAGAAATGCAGATGGCCAACAAGCATATGAAAAAATGTTCAACATCACTTGTAATAAGGGAGATGCAAATTAAAACCACAATGAGATATCACCTCACCCCAGTGAGAATGGTACATCTTAAAACAACTAGCAACAGCAAATGTTGGCAAGGATATGGAGAAAAAAGAACCCTCCTGCACTGCTGGTGGGAATGCAAACTAGTACAACCACTATGGAAAACTGTTTGTAGGTTCCTCAAACTGCTAAACATAGAGCTTCCAAATGACCCAGCAATCCCACTCCTAGGTATCTACCCAAAGACACAAAAACACTGATTCAAAAAGATACCTGCACCCCCATGTTTACTGCTGCTTTATTTATAACTGGAAAGACATGGAAACTGCCCAAATGCCCAAAAGACTGGATTACAAAGATGTGGTATTTAAACACAATGGAATATTACTTAACAACAAAATAAATAAATAAATAAATAAATAAATAAACACATGCCTTTTGCAGCAACATGGATGGAGCTGGAAAAGATCATGTTTAATGAAATAAGCCAGAAGGAAAAGGAAAAATATGGGATGGTTTCACTCATTGCTTGAGTATAATGGACCAGGCGAGAAAACAATGATAATGATGAACAGTTATATACCAGAGACATTTTACGGGGATGGAGTGGAGAATGGGATCTAAAACAGTCGGGGGAGGGAAATGCACTGAACTATGGTGGTGGGACGTGGGTGATTTGGTGATAGGAAGCCCAAGGGGATTACAATTGAGATGGAAAATGCATAAAATGATGGAAAAACAAGCTATTATATTACTAAAAAGAAATTTGTTGAAAAAGTTCTATTCAATCAGTTGGCGATAACACATTGTTATAAAAGATATAGGTAGAACCAAAAGATGACATTTATTCTCTCTTGCTATCCTATTACTAAATGAATTGAACACATGCAAGAAAATACTTAATTTTATACTCATAACTTTTTTTTCTGGATTTTCATTTAAAAGAAGATCCTCAAATAATATTTCACAACGGTCAGCAACTGTATTCAAAATATCTCTCTTCATTGCCTATGGAAAACAAAACACAATAAAAAATTAAATCATTAACTTAGATTTACATTATTTTCCTACCAAATAACCTCCAAGTAGCTGATTTCCCCACATAATCATGCCTTCAAAAATAACTGATATATGATTCTACCTTCTTATTTCCAAATATTTATATGCTTGCTAACACATTATACTTTAGTAGCAAATTTGCCTAGAATTCGTCCAAGTAGAATATTAAAACCAAATAACTAATTAAACTTTGCATCTATACAAACAATGCCTAAAATTAAGACATGCATGACTTAAGTTCCAGTATCATTTTTAAAGTTTTGAATTATACAGAAGATGGAACACTATGTAATAATTCTGCCTATGAATTATATTCCTATTATTATAAAGTTCAAGTTCCCCAAAAAGAAATGATTTCAAATGTACTCTAATGTCACAATTGCTAAGTAATTACTAAATGTATATAAATTCCACTTTTAAAAAGCGTATCCAATGCCTACAAATGAAAATCCTTTGACCAAATACATGTATGTATCTCGGCCACCCAAAAGATTAGGCATTTACCAGTTAAAATCAAACCATTAATTATGAAATCTCAAATTAAGAAAAAGTTTAGCATTTCTGAATAGCTATGTTAACATGCTTCCTTTATTCATTCGCCACTTATCCCTTTTGTACCTGCACAGCATCTTTAACCTTGGGTTTATTGCAATGTATATAAGCTCGACATTTCACAGCACCCTTAAGATTTACAGAGCCGCTGCAGATCTGGACTGAGGCTGTCGATCTATGATCTGAATTCAAAAGCTGAAAGACAAAATCTGTTTAAGTTCTGGTAGCCAGCCATTATTAACTATATGAAATAAAATACTTAATATATAAACCATTTCATGGAATAAGAAGGGATTTTTAATTAAATATTTGAAAATATTCTTCATAAATTAAAAGGTCTTAATATTTCTACTTATAAGTTATATATTATTTTCTGAGCATACTATATACACTCTAAATTTTAGTACTACATCTTTATTAGTAAGATTTTTCTTACTAATATAAAGTACATCTAAAGTACCAATATTCAATTAGTCAATTCACTGAAAATTTATGATTTGCAGATTACTCATACACGTTCTGTTAAGATGAAAAGATAAAGAAGACATGATCTCAAAGGAGGTATGTTTACAAAATAATATTTGCACAAAAGTTAACTGCAATACAAAGCAGGACATAATAAATATGCCAAGATAAAAAGCAACATACAGACACTTATTTGTATACTTTAAACTCGTAATTCAGACTAATAATAATGCTATACTAGAGCCCTCCCTGGTAGCACAGCAGATTAAAGCATAGCATTAAGAAGCTAAAGCCACTTCAGCATGAGTTCAATCCCCACCCTGGAGGTGACCCACATGACACTGCAGATCTTTCCTGACCCGCCCACTGTTCCCCTCAGCAGTGTACTTCGTCAGTCAGCCTGTTCTGCTCCTCACTGTCTCTGGTGAATACTCTCACCACCCCTGTACCTCTGGCCTGTACCCCAGCTCTGTATGCATAAGTAAGTAATTCTTTAAAAAAAAAAATGCTATACTCTACAGCAAAAACCAAACAATTTAACTATACTTGTCACTAGAAAATGATAACAGTAATTATAAGCAGTCATTTTCCTCTTCAAGTCCCACTTTTCATTTTTGGTACTGAGAGGTTTCACAAACCATTTGTAACATCATTTTGACAAGTGACAAAACAAAAACAATGAAATACTGAAAGCTACTAGAGACTGGTAACTACAAGGAAACATAAATTATGATTCAAACAAATAAAACCCCCAAAATATACCTGGAATAAATAATTCAACAAAAGGGTTAATTTTCAGAACCAAAACAAATCATACAGCTAGTGAGCAATGCCATGTGCCTATACAGAAGAGCAATCAGGAAGTGATCAGGAGAAACAGAGGAGAAAAATCTGCATATATGGCTACTAGATAATTATGAATAGCAGTGCTCATTATAATTAAAGCACAGGCTACTTTTTTATTTTTAAGATTTGGGGTACAGGTCAAAGATGCGGAGGGTGAGAGGATTCACCAGAGACAGAGTGGGGTACAGAACAGGCAGATTGATGAGGTACACTGCTGAGGGGAGCAGTGGGGGCAGGAGAGGTCTGCTACGCCATGTGGTCACCTCTGGGGCAGGCGGGAATTGAACTCATGCGAAAGTGGTTTAAGTTTCTTTGTGTTGTGCTTTGACCTGCTGCGCCACCAGGGAGGGCCCTGCACAGGCTACTTTTTTCTTAAGATTTATCTATTCATGTATATAGAACTGGGGTACAGGTTGAGGTGCATGGGTGGTGAGAGATTCACCAGAGACAGAATGGGGTGCAGAACAGGCCAACTGACGAAGTGCACTGCTGAGGGATGCAGTGTGAAGGCCAGGAGAGGTCTGCCATGCCATGTGGTCACCTTCAGACCTGAAGTAGCTTTAGATTCTTAGTGCTGTGCCAGGGAGGAGTGCTTTTTCTTTTTAAAGAACTTAAACTTAAACATCAAAATCTCATTGGTAAAAAATTTGTCACAGACCAAATAATTCAAAAGGTTTCAAGATCATTCAAAAACTGTCTCACATCAAACCAAGCAGTAGGATGATAACACTGACACTATAACTGACATAAGTTTCTTACAATATGTGTAGAGATCATTGGTACAACATTCAATAAGGTGGGGATGGAGAAACAAGTGAATTCTCTCATCCACTCCACCAAATCTGACTATATTTCAAATTGCCTTGTTTTGAAATTAATGCCTGTTATTCATATTTAATACATATTTGTTACACATGTGTAAAGTAGGGCATTTTTCCCAAAAATGATGACACAATATACAAAAGATGATACATATAGACACAAATATAAAACTATATATGTCGATCAACAAGGAGTGTTTTAAAGGATATAAGAACTGACATTCCTTTTTTTGGTTTTACAAACGTCAACTACTTGGTTTTTACAAATGTCAAACTACTTTGGTTTTTGGACTTAGGAACAAATTGGCTTAAAATTAGCCTTTGGGAACTTGTTCTTGAATGGAAGAACTTCTGTGATAGTAATATGGTATTTTGGAAAAAGTAAAGATTCCTTTGATTATGGTGATTACATGAAATCTTTACAAAAGTAGTAGCATTTGGGTTGATCTTAAGGTCCATCCCTGGCAAGGGAGGTGACCCACATGGCAAGGTAGACCTCTCCCATCTGCCCACTGTGCTTCTCAGCAGTGTATTTCAGCCAGTACGCCTATTATGTTCCCTACTCTTGTCTCTGGTGAATCCTTTCACTCCCCATACCTCCAACCTGTACCCCAGCTCTTTTATGCATAAACAAATCTTAAAAAAAAAAAAAAGTTATGGAAAGGTTGTAAAGAGCCCTGAATTAGACTTTCTACTTAATATAGCATAAGAATTTTAAGCAAGGTTGGTAATTAGTGGCTGACCCTTACAATACACTAGTTTCAGAAAAAAAATGCTAAGCTAATGGACAAGTAAATCAATGTAAACTGTAATTCAGAAAGGATGATCAGAGGTCATATGTAAGACAGATTTGAAACATGGAAAATACTCTGGGAAGTATGTGAACAAATGTCTCAGGATTTTCAGAGTCACTTTGGGCAATAATGAATAGATGGAGAAAGACCAGTTAAGAGTTTATTTGTAATCATCTAGAGACAATATTATCAACATAATATTATCATCATAATATCATCTGTGCACACATAACTATATATTTTAAATAGTGATTTGCCTGGTGTAGAGGCAAAAGACCCAAATAGGTTTTTATTAAAATAATGTTGTCTTTTGTGAAAAAATGCAGAGGACTTGAAGGAGTTATACCAAATGAAAAAGGTAAACAAACACTATATGAAGGAAATATGAAAGAAAAAAAAATCTAACAAATAAAAGAAAAATAAAGACAAATGCGAGAAACTGCTAAGGCGTTAAGTGCTGAAACAAGGAGAATGTCAGGGTCATGACTGGAAGACTGGTCAACACAGGCTGAAAGACTGGCCTGTGTCCAGACCATAATGTCTTTTCTTGTGTCAGCAAAGCTAACTCTGAGAAACAGATAAGGTTAAAAAGGGAGTAGAATATACCCTAACACAGAACCTTGCCTGGACACACACAGTACGATTCATTGTCTAGTAACTAACAAGGAGTGGAGGAGGGCGGTTAGTATCAATAAAAATAAGTTGCAACTGGCACTCCAGATACTTGCCCTTGGACTAAGAAGCCTTTCATCCCCTGGGTCCTGCTTCTCTTAAACTCTATTTTGTGTCTGCCATTTCTTTTTTCCTTAGTCCTTTTGGATTCCTCTCCTCAACCCCGTTCACCAGAGCTGGTCTCTGGCAAGTGGTGCTGGAACAGGGACCTGAGGGAGGATAAAATAAGCCTACCTGAGTGGGGGAACACGTGGGGAGAGATGTAATCTCAGATTGAACAGCCCAAGGAAAGCCTTCCCTAAAGGAGGGGAAGTCTTTGGAACTCCCAGGGTAACAAATGGGACAAAATGAAAGTAAAAATTCTGAGTATATCAAGCTTCTTAAAAGTTTGCTGACAAAAGTAAGGACATCAAGGTGTGGACACGGGCCAGTTCCAACCCATGCTGACCAGTTTTCTAGACACAACCCTGAAATTCTTGTTTCAACACTTCAGCCTTAGGGGTCTCCAACAGACAACCCTTAGACTCTGACAACAATATGGTGGTTATTAGGGAAGACAGGAAAGAGAGGTGATAAGCAGAAGGGGTTGATTGGTTGGTGACAGATGGTGACTGAATATCTGGTAGGTGTGGTGTCATAGACTCAGATGCTGACATAGAAGAAACTGCACATCTCAGAACCTATAGTGTTGTGAACTAATGTTAACTAATTGAAAGGAAAAGAAATAATGTTTCTTGGTAATAACTTTTCTATAACTGGATGTTTTTACAGTCTACTGCAGCTCTAAAATTCTTTCACCCTCTAATTATAAATATAAAAACAGAAACACACAGAATATCAATACGGTTATTCTAAGAAATGATATATTTTAGATAAGCATTTAAAAATATTCACCAACTGTGTTAGCACTCTGACATCAAAAGAATGGCTAGTTGCTTGAACATTTCCTCTGGAAGATTTTTTCTGAAAAAACATAAAAGTTAAAAAGCTAAATGAGATTGGAGTAAAACAGAAAATCCTATGGAAAATATACTACATTTGCTAAGTAATTTAGGAAATAGTTTATTTATTTTACGTTTTCTATAGATATATTACTTTGTATATTCTTTATCAATTAATGAGTAATCTTAAAAACCATTAATTCCCTACCTTTATTCCCCTAAAGCAAGGATTGGCAAACTATGGCTTGTGGGTTAAATCTAGACCACTACCAGTCTTTATAAACAAAGGTTTATTAGAACACAGTCAAGATTTTTCATTGCCATGTTGTTTGAGATGCTTCTGTAACAGCAGTGTTGAATAACTGCAAGAGACCAGATGATCCATAAATATGAAATATTTACTATTTGGATTTTCAAATGGAGTTCACTGACTCTTTCTCTCAAGTGAGATATAACTAATATTCTTCTTCCATTAGGCCCAGCCCTCTTTGACAAAATGATATCATTAATCTTCAAATTGCTAACAGAACAGAAAAAAACATGCCTTTATTTTCAAGTGGGAAGTTTATAATTTGGAGGTTAAAAAGAACAGAATTTAGGTAACATTCCCTTCATCAAGTTTAAGGATACCTGAAGGATTAAAGATTAATTTAGATATATTCACCCATACTTTTCTGAGAATAAAATTTGCCCTTTTAGTTTAAAAGACTACAAATAAGAAGTAGATAAAAATTGTTTTCATAAAGCTCAGGGCTAAAGAACTGTATCTTTTATTTTTCCTTAAGCACAATTAATTTCATAGGATGATTCCCTCTTAACTTACCTGTCCTTCTAATAGGTCACCATCTTCATCTTTAATTTGTCCATTAATCAGATAAACACCATTTTCTATTTGCTTGGCCCAGCGTGCTAGTCCAGTCTTAAAAGAAAGAGAACAAGGCTACCTTTCAGGTATAATGCCATCACTATTTAACAACCTGAAGTCTACTTTTTCCATTTAATATATTGAAATATGAAAAATCCCTAAAGATCAGCATTGTGGTACTTAAATTCAGTCTCATAAGCAAAAAAAAAAAAAAAAAAAAAAAAATCTAATCTCATACTTTTTTGGCATCTCATACACTCTTAAATATAATTTTTCTAACATTTATCCCAAAGTAACATTCACTTTACCAGACTTAGGAGGTTTACTAACTATAGTCAAATAGATTGTCAAATAAATGCAATAAATCCCAGTATCTAAAAAAAAGTGATAAAAAGAGAAAGTACCTCAAAATAAAGTACCATTAAGAGAAAAAATAAACATGCTCTATTAGCTTCTTTCCAATGGAAAAAGGGAGAGCAATAAATTGCAAATAAAAGAATGGCATAGAAATATAAAAACAAAAATGACCGGAAAAGGGAAGGAAAAAAACTAAAGACCAAGAGAAAGTAAAAAGACCAAATAACCTATCTTCTTTCTTATATTTTAAATGTAAACTAAATATAATTGCCATGTATGGAGTAGCTATTATGCTAAATACACCTGTATTATGACATTGTCCCATCTTTATATAAATTTCTAATTTGGCTAGGGTAATATGCCATAATAACAATATCATTATAATTAGAATACAACTTTCGAGGAATATAACATTAATAGTACGACCAGAATAAATAAAAACAGACTGTGTATTCCACAATCACTAAAGAAAATTCATTTTACCCTGATACCTTTGTATTTTTTTCCAAGGTATAGTTGACAGAAGTAGCAGAGAGTGGAATATGAATATTAATATGAACTGTACACTCTAAAGAAACCCATGAAGATGATAGTCCATTTTGATACTTCCAATCTGCTGGTTTTGCTGAACTCTAGGAGGAAAAACAAAAAATATGTGACTTAGGTAAAATACATAGATCCATAAAATATAAAATATCAACCTAGTAACTTATACAAACTGTTATCTAAAATATCTGGTCAAATTCCTTCAAGAAAAGGAAATAGATTAGAACTGAATAAAATTAAGTCAAGCATTTAAGTTCAGTTATATTCCAGGTAACCTTGGCAACTTCCTCCCACAGCAGTAGGCTAAAAAAGCGTTCAGGCAGCTCCAGGTTGAGAATTCTGACAAGTACTCTGTTCTCCTGTAGCTCATATGTGTACTTCTCCAGTCTATTTACCTGACTACTAAGTGTGAGACATTCTCCTTTCTATCACTTCCTTGCTATCAAAATGATGCAGTTACTTTTTCACATATTTTTAGATACTAGAGCAAAGTGTCAACCTGCTTCTAAGTATAGGTACCTTGTTTACCTGGCACTGTAGTAAGCAAAAGCCCACATTTAGCTCCAGCCTCTCAAATATAATACCAAATACATAAACAAGTTAGGAAGAGAGTAGCAAAAACACTTTCACAATTAAAAAAAAATTTTACCTGGGCCCTCCCTGGTGGTACAGTGGGTTAAAGCACAGAATTAAGAGGAAGCTAAAGCCACTTCAGCATAAGTTCAATCCCCGCCCTGGAGTTGATCCACATGACACTGCAGACCTGTTCTGACCTGCTCGCTGCTCCCCTCAGCAGTGTACCTTGTCAGTCAGCCTGTTCTGCTCCCCCCTGTCTCTGCTCAATCCTCTCACTGCCACTGCACCTCTGGCCTGTACCCTGCTTCTGTATGCATAAATAAATAAATCTTTTTTTAAAAAAAAAGTTTTCCTTTCCTGTAATTGTATTAGTCACATTTCAAAATAAAAAACTACAGGTGGTTGTGGACATCAATAGGAAGTGACAGCACTAAAAATTATTAAACTAAATAGGAATTTAAATTTTATTAAAAACTATTAGGGGAACCAAATAAGACATCAGGGAAAATAACTATAATACAAACACACAAAAAAACAACAATCACAAACCAGAGACCTTGTAGGGAGTAGAATTGGAAGGAAGGAGGGAGGAGCACAGAGGACTGGTGATGATGCACAAGAATTGGGGTAGGAAACTGGTGGACAAGGGGGAGAGCAAACACTGTTTAAAAATGAACAATGATGTAAAATATATATAGATCAAAAAATTATTTTTTAGGTTTTGTAACAGAAAAATATTTAAAAAGTAATTTTTCTTACCTTTGGATCATGAATGTCGTAAGTTCGACAAACTGTCCTTTACTAATTAAGGATAGAAATGGACAAAAAGAGGGGCAATTCTTGATGATCAAAGAAAAATAAATCATCAAAAAATAAGGGACATGCATCCAAGAGCTTTTACAAAATGTATACAATTCCATACCTACATTTAAAGGTATACAAACACACACAAGCATATATGTTCATGTATTTATACAAATACATATGATTATATATATAAATATACCTATGAATTGCTTTAACTAGACAGTACTTGCAGCTCTTTAAACTATTTGCTATTGCTTACAAGTACTGCTAATAGCACTTACAAATAGAACAGCAGCATATATGTATCCTCAAATATATGCCTTCTGAAACAAATAGGAGGTGTATATAGCTGGTAAACAATTCAGAATTTTGAGCCCTTTCTCAAAAGGCTCTGAGACTTATTTAACAGCCACTGCCACTGCTATTAGTAATTCTATTACTTACATTGTAATCTACAAATTTTGCCCATTTTCAAAATGATTTAAATAAATGTTTAGGGGAAAAACTTCCAGGAACATATTTTGGTCTTATGTAAAACATAAGTCCTAAATAAAAGATACTTTTTTGTAGAAGAACAAATATGAAGTGTCACTCGTTCTGAGATTTCTTCTTCTGTGAAATTCCACAGTTTTTTTTTATTCATTGATTTTTCCACAGCAAATACAAGCTGAAAGAAAGAAAAACACACCTTAAAAAAAGGAAAATGATAGAGGAAAAGTGAATGTAGAAACAGACATCTATAATGTTAGGCTCCCACTTAGCTTCAAAATTCTATCATTATATATACCTTTTTCTCAAAGGAAATATAACTGATTATTAACCATGTGGATTTTAGTGATATAAGAAAAACTAGATTTTAAATACAAAAATACAATTCATGATATATATACATAATTTATTATGATATGTATGCATCAATTAATGATCTATTGACATAAAACACATATTAAAAGTGAGAAATATCAGAGTAAGTTATATAAATTTATGCCAGGATTAAGAATTATAAAAATGCATATTTGATCTGAGGAAAAGAGTCATAAATTTAGCTTTCCAATAATGCACAGAGAGAAAACTAGAGATTAGTTCAGAGAAAAGTTAAAGAAAATAAAGCAACCTAATTCACATGGTCCATACACTGAAAACAATTGCTCAGAAGAGGCACAACTTTCTTGATAATGGTATCAAAAAAAAATGTTCCAAAGATAACAGTAAGCAGTATAGGGAGCAAAGTTCTTAACAATCTTACAGGAGAGAGCATGACAAGTTTTATATGATTATTTCTTATAATGTCCCTCAAAGCAGGCCAATGGAAAAAGTTAGATAGTTGAAACTAAACAGTTCCTAAAATGTAGCACTGTTCAAGTCTTATATGCTTCTTAGGAACAAAAACAATAGAATAGTAAAAGGACACTTGATTGCCTCTCTGGTACTGAGGCTACATTCACTTAACCCAGTACTAACCACAAATGGATGTACACCCAGTGCCATTAAATACTGATTTAGGATATATCTGGAAATGTAGAGGATGAACTGTGAAAGAGGTACATTTAATTAATAGAAAAAGTGGTAGAAAGGTGAATAACTTGCCAGGGAAAAGGAGTCTCTCCATCTCTTCTAATACTCTGAAGTAGAAATGTCAAAGGATTGAGAGAGGCATGTGATAGGTGAGAAGGTTACAAAACTGTATGTAAAATGCCTTATAGAAGGCTCATTAGATGTTGAATGCTAAGAGATTAAAGTTGGCTATGCAGAGTTTACCTCAGGCTTTAAGTAAAAAGAGCTTATGGATTTCAAACTGACTTATGTTATACAATTCTGATATAGGAATCAAACAAAAACCACAGGATACCTCTGTCCATGGATAAAGAATAAGTACCTATTGTCTCTTTATTTCTTATTCTCAGGATCTTGAGAAAATTCAACAGAAGGTGAAGAATTTTAAGACCTATTAATAATCACATTATAGCAATCACTTGGAATTAAATAGAAGGTGTGACAGAATACTGCTATTGTATACACAAAAAAAATCTGTTCAACCATTGTAACTTGTTTCATAATTAACATAAACTATCCTTAAAAATAAAGACCATTTTAAAATACGTAGCCTTGATTGAAAATATAAACATTGACATTTGTTACACTCAAGATACCTAGCAATTGGTGGAAAAAGCTGTTTCAATATAATCCCACCATAAAAAATTATGGAACATAAATCTAAATATGGCTAGGACTGTTATACATATTATAATTGTTAATTATAGTAATAAGTAATTTAAGAATTTTTTATACATCAGACTTACTCTACGCAGGGTATTTTGAAAATCATTTCCCATTTCTAAAGTCGTAATAATAAATACTCCAAGAACTAAAAGTCCACCAGGTAACATTCTGGATACCTAGAAACAGAAACACAGAATAGCATAAGCACTCACATTATATAGAATTTGTGGAACTATTAGATCAGCAAACACCAACTAAGCAACAAAGCACTAATGTGAAAAACTGGTTAAAATATCGAGAAATAAATGATAACCAAGATGAATGAAGTATTATTTTGGACACAATCTTCAGAGTGCCCTGAACTAAAATGACTGTATAAATAAAACCACTTAATAATAACACTTTAGTTGCATTAATAAATATAAAGCCCTTTCTTATGAGAATGAAGGCTGAAATATCTTCTAAAATATTATCAGTAGCTTCCACTATCAGCTAAATAAAATACAAATTTTACCTTAAGGCTAGCATTTCAGACTCTCTAAAATTTGGATGCTCTGCATTCAGATTAGCTGGTGCTAATTTGACATTATTTTCCTTGAACAATTCAAAAATCAGTTAGAAACTTCTCAGTGTTTTCCACTCACATGCCTGGGCTTTCTGACTCTATACCTTCACTTGGGCTGCTCCCTCAAATCGCAACTAGCTCTTGTCTATGTGACTAGACATAACAAATACTACAAAGTCAGCCTGTGAATGCCTTCTTGATCCTTTTATCTTCAGACTCCTACAGACTTTTGATATAGCTTTTTCATGGAGCTTATCTATCATACAATCCTGTATTACTGCTGTTTATGTACCTTAGTAATTAGAATGGGCTGCCCTTTATGGACAAAAGTGATTCTCAAATGCTGTTGTATCCCTACAATATATATATAAATATTTAAAGATTTATTTATTTGTGCATACAGAACTGGGATACAGGCTAGAGGCTCAGGGGCGGTGAGAGGCTTCACCAGAGACAGAGTGGGGAGCAGAACAGGCAGATCGACGAAGTACATTGCTGAGGGGAGCAGCGGGCGGGTGAGGAGAGGTCTGCGGCGCCATGTGGTCACCTCCGGGGCAGGCGGGAATCGAACTCCTGTGGAAGTGGCTTTAGATTCTCAGTGCTGTGCATTAACCCTCTGTGCCACCAGGGAGGGCCTGTATCCCTACAGTATTTAGCAGAAATTTTACCACAGTCTAGAATTTGAATAGGGGGAATCTAACTTCAAAATTCTATTACCTTCTATTGTTTAGGTTTCCTTCAATGTTTAAATGTATCTACTGGTATTAGGCACAGATGCTATTTCCAATATTTCTTTACTCTAAAAGGTTACAAATCCTTAAAACCTTCTATGTTCACAAAAGGAAATAAGCAGAACTATTTGCTTAGGATAAATTTCTTAAAGTGGAATACTGGGTCAATTAAGTTATATATAGTTTTAAGATTTTTGATATATATTACAAATTTGTCCTACATAATATCTGTTTTCCTTCACATTATTATGTTTTTAATGTGATAGGAATTTTTCCCTACCATCTATATATTGAGTTCACAGTGCTTTGCTTATTTTTTGTATATTTAATATATAAGCACACTGGTGGCAAAGTTGTCTCCAGAAAATCTGATACCATAGTCTAACCTTATTTGTCTGCTGTTGGATTCTTCTGACTTCATAAATTCTATTCATTGTTGTGCAAAAGCTTGACATATAAAGAATAAAGGTTTTATATTCAGCAAGGGGAATGTGCATGTATTTTCAAAGCCATCAATACATAAATTTGGCATTTCTTTCTACAAGCAAAGGTTAATCTACCTTGCTTATAAATTGTATATAATATTTACACATACATATATTTATTTACATAGGCATGTAGAAAATAGAAAGTAAGAGTATACACACAAATATACACACATATGATTTTAAAGGATACCAAAGCAAAATGAAGTAGAAAGTAAATCATAAAGCATTTAGGTTCAAAATATGTAATATTTTTGTTAGGAGATGATACTTAGATTTTTTTTTTTGTAACTACTATCCCCCCTTTATTACAAACACATAAAAGCACAGATATACACATTTGTGTGTCTGAAAGATTTAAAGTGGATTGGAGAAGGAAATAATTCTACTCTAAGATTCTTATCAGTTAGTAGAACCCATTCAATAAGTACTTTCAAACAAATAAACATATCATTCCCTCTCACCCACTCTCAAATATGTCCCCTTCTTATGTAACAGCAACACCATTTTTCCTAAACACCCATGTTAAAAATCTCAGTAATGACTATTTACTCTCCTACAATATGTCTTCATTCTTAATCTACTTGATCACTAAATATTTTAATTCTAGCTCTTTTTTTGGAATGTTTTGGCAATTAAGTTTCAGCATATTGCATTAGTTGGTTGATTTACATATCCATGTATCCAGTATCTGGGAATTCTCATTATAAACAACAGAAATACTGCAACTGGTACTAAGGCTATAACTATAAACAAAACAGGTGTGACACTTGCTTCATCTAGCAAGTGCTTAAACTCACATCACCTTCTTTTGTATTACTATTGAAATTATAGTCTGTTTTCTCTATAGTCACTCTATTCTCCATTTAGCAACAAGACATCAAGTTTATTTTTCTAAATTATTGATAGATCAATCAAATTAACTCCTCAAAATGGGAGCTGGGAACTACCTGGGAACTACTATCTACTGAACAAATGCCTCATTTCAAAGAATGATACTGTTAAACTGTTCAACAACTGGCCTCTTAGGGTCTTAATTCTAACAGATTCATTCACATACTCCATGCTTCACTTACACACAGACATACCTTTAGCTTTCATGATATAGGGTATACTGCCCTCAGTGTATCCAATGTGTTCTTGAATTCTACTGGTAAAAAGTCTCATTTATTCTTCAAGTTCAGAGCCCTTTATAAAGCTGTTTGCAATCTAACCACTGTCAAAATTTTAATCACTTCCTATTCCATTTTCCTATATTACTTTTCTATTTCTATCGTATGTCTTATAATTCGTTTTGGCAATGAACTCTTTTTTTTAATGGTTAAAATACAAATTGTATTAGAGTATTTTTTAAAAATTAACCATTTTACTTACTCAATGACTACAATTATGTCTTTAAAACAAGCTGACTACCAACTATACTGTCAATACTTGTATCTTAAGGTAAAGAAAAATTGTAAATGAGCTATATGACTTCTAATATGAAATAGGTTTTAAAAAACAATGGATAAAGATTAACAGTGGAAAAGTATAGCAGGCAAGATCAAAATTTTTTACTTCTAGGGTTCAAAATCCTATTGCTACCATTTTTTCACTATGTGTTTTTGGATGAATTACCTAGCTCTCAGTAAAATGCTTATTTCTCTTTAAATGAGACATAAGTAATTAACAAAAAAATATAGCTATGGGTGAAACAGAATAGAAGGTAGTTGTATTTTTGATTGATCACGCAAATTTTAAAAATATAAGGATTACTCAGAAGTCTAATCTAGACACCTGAGGATGAACTGTTATATTTTTGCTGGTCAAATAAACAAACTTAACTACATAGGAAACAAATATGATGACCTGGTTAGCATGTTCTGTAGCCCATTCTTCATCCAAGTTATCCAATTTAACTGTGGGATGTTTGAGGTTCTCATTTTGCTCCTCTTTGGGTGGTGTTCTAGTGGCAAGAATCACATAATCCTTTTGTGACGAACACTTAAAAAACAAGTTAGATACCTTATTAGAGTGATATCTAAGTACTGTAAGGTTTTTGTGACATGAAAAAATAATTTACAGCATATTAAATTGTTAATACCTATGTTATAATGGAAGCTACAGAGAAACCAATTTTTATAGGTAGTCTGACATCCCCTTCGCATGTTACTTCTCTCTTCATGATAGTAATACTATCAGCTTCTTATTTATGGGCATCCTGAATGTGAATCACAGTTTCTTAAAAATAATTTAGTGATTGGTGAATGGACTGCATTTAAACTAAAAGACAGTATGTTTGGTCAATTCTCCATTATTGCACTTATTTTCTAAGTAATTAAAACAAATTAACTGGTTTTACCAAAATATAAAAAAACTTCAACAAACTGAAGAAGCAAATGACAACATGCTTCTTAATTTCGATGAACTGATGACAGTAGGCAGCTTGTATATACATGTACCATATAATAACAAAGGGAATGTGGAACACAATCAAAAGTGAGATCAGGCTGTATATTAACAGCAGTTAAATGGTAATCAAAAGTGGGAAATCTAAAGATAAGTGCAAGCACCACTGTTAACAATTCAGTTTTATTACAAAGAAAGTTTCACATAGAGAAAGAACAGAAATAAAGCCAATAATTTAAGGTAGTATGGTGTTCTCCTGGAACTCCTATTAGTGTCATCCTGGGATAAAAAGCAGAGGAACAGGAATCCTTTGACAAAAGTTATGCTCAGACAGCTACATTCAAATATGCACAGGAATAGGTAGGTACTGATTAAGAAGGCTTTTCTTTAAAAAAATAAATAAATAAATAAACAACAAAAATTTCTTTTTGAAAAAAAATTGACCCTGAAAGTCAGAAACAGGCAATCCTGAGGAAAAGGAGAGACAGTGGTGAACCCTGGAGTAAAAATAAAAAAGAAACATGTAGAATACTGGAAGGAATAAAATGGCAGTATGCAGAAAGACTGGAGGAAAGTCCCAAATTATGGAGACTTATTTGGAAGGTGGTAGTTCTGTTGAGCTTGAGAAACAGTCTGTGTGCAGCAAGGCAAGTCTGGAAGATGCCATGCTCACCATCACCATCATCACCCCTAGGAAGGCAAGTCTGGAAGGAACACTTCTTGACCTTTCATGTTATTGATCACATCTTTCTCAAAGGTTCTACTTCCCTTAAAATTTTAAAATAAAGGAGGTAAAAAACCTTAAGTAAAAAGTTCCTCAGGAAGAAAAGTGTCAAGTAACCTGAATCAGAAATTCAGATTGTTGTCAAGAGTGGGGGCTCTTGCTATAACAAAAGTCCTGACAGGTTGACAGGTGGTAACGTCTGGTACAAGGTCTGCTCTCTGTCTTCAAGAAATCAGACCTGTGAAAACTCTGAGAGTGAAATTGTCACTCGAGGCTAGACATTAACTTAGTTCAAACTGAATGGCATTGGAAACTACATTCTCTGAAGGAGTATGAATACAGAAGTGCTCCAGGTAATTCACTCCTTACAAGTAACAGAAAGTAGCTTGGAAATGTCGATAGAATCAGAAATAAAGTTAATTGTGTATGAAGATTCTAAGGCATCAGTGAAAGAGATCTAGAAAGAAAATTGTTACAATAGAGCTTTATTTGCTACCAGGCCTCAAAATCAAGTTCTTGAGCCATAACACATAGCACAGCATTTAAACTGATAAAGCCAGCATGTCTCTCCCTTGAAGTTGTTTTGTATTCCAATAATTTTCCTTGCTGATGAACATATTCTTCTATAAATTATAATAAATTAGCAGGCAGCTATGCTTTTTAAAGTAGCCATCTAAATTCCTGCTCCATTTTGTGTTGATTTTTAAAATATAACTGTAAAAGAGTGATAAAGAATTTGTTTAATAACCAAATTTCCCTCAATACCTTTCCCTTCCTCTCCATGGAATAAACATAAAAACAAATTCAGTAAGGTGGGCACAATCACCCTGTATTAAAAATATATAACCACTTTTGTTACAAGTTTAAGAAGAATGGAAATTAAATTGTCAAAAGCTACTTTTATGAAGAATTAGAAAACTAGAAATAATAAATATTAGAAGTGAGCAAAAGCATTTAGAAAAGATTAAAATTTGGTCAGTAAATTTCTAAATTTGGAGTTTCTATATTATAAATTATTTTTTCATGTCAACAGGGAATGCATTTTTACTTGAGCAAATCTGGGTTAGGTTAGACCTACTTTTCCAGATTTTTTTCTCAAAATCTGCAATAAATTTACTTGTCATACACCCCATGTCTCCACCCCAACCATGAGTTTATGGCTAAATCGCTGATTGTAACTATATTAAGATTCAGTTTGTTTTATCAGGTGCACAGTGTAAGATACATACCTGTCCTATTAAAAGACCAGACACAAAAGATTTTTCTTGGAGACTGATGTTTGAAAGATACTGGCCAACAGTTTCATCGACAATGTAGGTTCTTCCCATTACTGAGAACTAATTTGAAATCCTAAAATGCAAGAAAAAATGTAGCTTTTTTGGGGGGTAAAAATATAATTTGCAATGTTTTTCGCATAAGAGAAGTATAATGACACATTCCATTCCTTGCTGAGACTGCATATTAAATAAGAATATTCATCTTTCTGAAGTTTAAGTATGCTTCATAATTCTCAACACAGAGCCGTAGCAAACAACTATCAACCAACCTTGGCAGTCTTCCTTTGAGTAACTTATAATACAAAAGTTATGAAAAGATAAGTAATGATGGAAAAATGAAATTTGTATAGTTCCTACCTAGTAGAAGATATTGTTCTATATATACTTTACATTTAGTAATATTTAATATTCATAAAACCCCCATGAAATAGATTATTAATATTATTACCTAGTTTTATAAATTGAAGAAAACTGACATGACTTGCCCACGTCACAAAATTTAAAAATGCCAAAGGTGGTATTTAAACTCAAACAACCTAGTTCTAGAAACTAATCCCTTAAACACTGTCTCCTAATGAATCTCTCAATGAAACCATTACTAAGGGTAACTCCAGCTCAGCTTTCTTTCCAGTTTGTGGATAAGAACCAGTAGATTCCGCTTACTATCTTGAACTCCTTTGATTTTCTGCAGGTTAAAATCAAAGATGCTAAACAAAAAGAGTTAGTCAATAATAAAATGATGACCTCAAGGAGCTCACATTCAGTGTGGGCGGCATTAAGTGTGAAGAACGATATTCAGAAAAGCTATGTAGTAGATATAGAAAGACTACAGGGATACAGTTTCAACATTCTGAATAGAAATAATAGTCATTTGATTCTGTAAAAAGTTTCAGTCTTAGTATACAACAAAGTGTAGGCACCTATAGATGTGCTGAGGTGGTATATCTGAAACCGATAAACTGCTAGTCACAATGAATTTAATCACTCTAAACTAAAGTTTACTGATTTGATTACAGTTTGAAATGGTTATCAGACAACTGTTTTTTCAAAGGGTCCACTCTGTTTTGTCTCAAAATACATTAGATTTCTTCTTATCTCTTTTCCAACATTAATACAAATAAACTTGGTTTACAGACCATTTTTAAAAGGTGATTTATATACTCTGAAGGGAAACCAGAAACCAAGGTATCCTTTTTTTTAACACTTAGTCTAGAACTGTGTATCTAGTTGTTAATATCTCTATAAATGAAAGGCTTTCCACTTTCAGTTATGCCTGAAGGTATACATTTCCAAGTATTAAATTTTCTTCTACTTCATTATGCTAAACTGCATTTTTTGCTTCTGACCTAGTAATTCTTAATTCTTGCAAAAATACAAAGTAACAGTAACTCCTAAGCACTACATAACTTTCTAATCCTATTTCTTCCAGTATATCCCCAATTAGCCATGATAATATGTAAGAAATTGAATATAAGATGAAGATGAAAATTTATTGGGTTTTGAAATTTGGTTGTGTCAGATAATTATTTTCTTTAATGTTCCTTCCAATATTTTAAATGTAGCCAATAATACTTTACAAAAATACAGATCTTGCCTTGTACAGTTAAAAGTTTCCTGAAATGCTGTCTGTCTGCAAGTTGTTTAGCAGGCTAACTTAGGAAAACTCAACCTTCCTGTAATCTTGGTTTCCCAATCTACAAAATAATTTGGTAAAAAGGAGGTCTGCAAACTTACCTAATTTTAGGATTCTCTGAGTAAAGAATATCTGCTTTTCCCAAGAGGTTGATTAATAGTATTGTATTGTGGACCTCAGACAGCAGAGAACTGTACACATCAGCAAACTTACGTGAAACATTTTCAGGGAAAATCAACTGTAAGTAAGTAAGTTACTTACTGGTATTCACAAAAGGCCTGCTACTGTGAGAGTTGCAGAGAGGGCATTTGGAATGCTTTATTTTCAATAAAGACTTTATTCAATTATTTTAGAATAATCAAACATGAAACAATCTATTGACTTATTTTCAATCTACTGACAGAATTAATATCTGGAAACAAGTAGTTCTGTTATGGTGGCCGGGTGTCAACGGTTTTTAAGAATGTGTTTAGCAACTTTCGTTACAGCTGTTTTTTCAAATATTAACAAATATTTGCAAAGTTGTTACCTTACAGTATGAAAACAGGGGCTACACCCAAACCCCTGGTTTCTCTAAGTTCTCCTACTGATAAATGAACCAGGTTCCTTAAATGCCTATTGGATTATCCGCCACTCAGAAAAGCAAGTCAGAATTGATTTGATTGAGTGTGCACCGGAATGTCTGTCCATATGGCTTGTCCCTTTCCTCCTTTTAAAGAGCGCTCCAAGCTCGAGTGCGCGCACACACACACACACACACACACACACACAACCCCCACTCACACGTATCAGTAGGAATGACTCACCAGAATGTGCACGCTTGGTAAATCTGTCGAACTGTCACTCCCCTAGACGAGGGGGCTTAGAGCTCAAGTACAAGCCTACTGGAGCCAGGTTCTCCCGACCCGATTCCACAGGCAATGAACTCATCAGAATGCGACGAACTTCCCTCACCTCACTTCCCTGGGCAAACCCGGGGTCTCCGGAGTTAGGTGGCGCAGTCTGATGACGCACAGGTCCCCTTTACTGCAGTGCATCAGCCAAAGCTACTGCGGTCGCCACCCCGCCCCCTTCCGGGCGCCATTGAGAGCGTGGCGGTAGCTCGGCGCCTGCCGTCCGGCCCTGCCGAGACCGATGCCCTCTAGTGGCTCAGTGTCTAGAAGCCGCCAAAGAGGACGACCCATGGCATCCCGGGGCTTTGAGGGTAAGGCTGCTCTGCTCTTCGGGAAGAGACATGGTTAACGAGTACTAAATGGCGCCACCGCGCGGAGAGCAGTCACGCGGCAGGGAGAGGGACGTCGCGGGGGCGGGGAGAAAGGAGGAAGTGGAACGGGCGGGGCAGCCTGGGCGCTCTGAAGGGATTGCGAAAAAGACTACGTTTCCCAGAAGTCTGAGAGGCGTGAAGCGGGTGGGCTGGGGGTTACGGTGGAAAAGGGACCGGAACTCGGACTGCACCACCGGGTCAGAGGCCGCCTCTGAACTCGGATTCCCAGCGTGCACAGCTTCCGGTTGTTGCGCGCGCACTACAGACAAGGCGGTACGTCGGCTGCCTTCCTTACGCTGGACTCGGTTTCCCAGGGTCCCGCCGCGGGAGTCTCCGGCGGGCTGGCGCGCGCGAATCCCTGAGCGAGGCGGTAGAGGCCACGGCCCAGGCTTCTGGGCCCTCCTGGTCTCCCTCTCTCTTCTCCGTTGCTGCTTCATCTGCCGCTGCCGCCGCGGCTCCTGACCCGACCGACATGGCGGCAGTCCTACAGCAAGTCCTGGAACGGACGGAGCTGAACAAGCTGCCGAAGTCCGTGCAGAACAAGCTAGAAAAGTTCCTGGCTGATCAACAATCCGAGATCGATGGGCTGAAGGGGCGGCACGAGAAATTTAAGGTGGAAAGTGGTAAGTAGTACGCTTTTCCCGCCCTCACCTCTGGCCCGGACTTGGTAGCTCTGGAAGCTCTTGTCGCTTCCCAAGACGTAACGCGTGTGACCTCACCGCCGGCCGCCCTTCTCTGCCTCCCTGGGCAACCTAGTCCTCACCGACCCTCTATGCATTTGATAAGCCTTTTTGTTTTAAAACTCGGAATCCCTCTTGATGTAATTAGTGTGGTCTCATATGGCGACTCCTGAGTTGCCCCTATCCAGAACAGAAATGGCGATTCGGGTCTGTTTCACCGCTTCTTACAGCCTGTGTGTTTGTTGCACGTAATTTCCGCTGTTTTCAAGTCACCTTACAGTCCAAGACCTTTGTCTAACTGACCAGTGCTTTTGTCTTAAGTGTGTGTGACTCTGGGCCGGTAGCGACTTAGATGGTTACACAAAAAATAATGTGGATGAAACAATACAGCGTTAGAAACAGTCAACGTGCAAGAAATAAACTTAATAAAACGGGGTTTTCCCCTAAAAATTTGAAGTCACATAGAAAGTAAATTGAGACCAGCTTATAAATAACAGTGACTTCTCAAAGAAGAAAGCCTCTCTAACATTTTAACAAATCTAATTGATTTAAACATTCTTGAAAGAAGATTGAGCTTAGTACATACCATTTATGAAATACATGTGTCTTGGCTTAACAGTGTTGGGGTTTGGTTTATTTATAAAAGATTATTATTGTGTGTCTTCTGTGTGTCTGATACTCTACTACAACACTAAAACATGGTCCCCTTCCTGTGTAAAGTTAACATATTTTAACATAATTTCAGTAATTTTATACTTTCAGGTATTATTTTAGCTATTTGAAAATAAGACTTCTAAAAAAATTTTTTTTTAGATTTATTTATTTATGTGTACAGAACTGGGGTACAAGCTAGAGTACAGGAGCAGTGAGCGGACCCACCAGAGACAGTGGGGAGCAGAACAGGACTACTGAGGAAGTACACTGCTGAGGGGAGCAGTGGGTGGTCAGGAGAGGTCTGCCTGGCCATGTGGATCTCCTCTGGGGCAGGTGGGAATCGAACTCATGCGGAAATGGCTTTAGCTTCTTAGTGCTGTGCTTTAACCCGCAGTACCACCAGGGAGGGCCCGATAACAAGACTTTTAAAGAAAAAGTTTTTAGCCTAAACAATTTTTCCCTCATTTAATAGTTGCATTTTTAAAACTTTGTGTTATACAGAGAACTCTACTGATGCCTGGGGAAGATAAATAAGACATGTTGCTCCCTTTAAAAAAATTCATAATCTTGTGGGAGTTTGAAAGACCATAGGGCCATATTTTTATTTATTAAGAATTACTTGAGATAGCTCAAGTAATTCTTAATTACTTAAGAATTATTTGAAATTCTTAAGTAATTTTCATTACTTGAGCTATCTTTACTCAGATTCTTTCGATTGTATTTCAATTCCAATGTTGTAGCTTAAGTTTTAAAGTTACGTTTTTAAAAAAAATAGCAGCATTGACAATGTAGGTTTGATTTTATTCTTTGCTTTCCTGTAGAACAACAGTACTTCGAGATAGAGAAGAGGTTGTCTCACAGTCAGGAAAGACTTGTGAATGAAACCCGAGAGTGTCAAGGCTTACGTCTTGAGCTGGAGAAGCTCAGTAAGTATTTAATTAAATTTTGGTAAATATTCTTGAAGTGTTGAGATCTCCAGACATTCCTTTGTATGTTTTGGAAATACCTGTTTATTGTGTATGAAAATACTGATTGTTACTATCTTCATTAATGGTGATTATTTAAATTTTCTTTTAATGGTAAAGACTTTGTGAGAACCTAGTGTTTAGTGGTCACAAAGTTGGGTTCTCACTTTTTTAAAAGCTCTCTGGACCATTGTAAATCACAAGTTTTTATTATAAAGTGTTTGTAATTCTACCTGTTCATCTGTTTACACATCTATATAGAACCAGTGAGCTATTTAAAGGCACTGGCAATATACATATATTACTGAAAAAGTAGCGTGTAACTTTATTTTTATGTTGTTAAAAATTTTATCTTATTTGTTTCAGTACTCATACTTTTTATAAATATCTGTGAATCCCAGACTGATACTTCCTAATAATAGTTACCTCATAGCTAGAGTTAATTCTTCATTAGTTTTCATGTTATCATTAAGCCATAGAAGGTACATAGGATCTTTGATAAGGTTCCTGACATTTCTTAGAAGGATGATGTGTATTTCAGGCAGTTTGCAGTGGAAAAGAGCAAATATCAGGAGAATTCTTTATAGATTTGGAGCAGAGAAAATACTGTTCTTAAACATAGGTAGATTTTAATTTGACTTACAACACAGGAAGCTAATAGTCAAGAGAATAGTTCTCTCTTAATTGGGTCCATTTAGCTAATTATTGGGGTCATAACAATTTCTAGCTACTTTGGACACTTCATTTGAAAACATAATTTATATGTACAATGGTTGCTTATATGTGTAATGGCGTATATATTCTTATTGAGTAGCTAGGTCTGATTCACTCTCTGAATATAAATGTGCCTTGGCATAATATATAATAATAAAAGTGTCTGTAGAACAATGGTACTGAAGAATTTCAGGAAAATAACTGATTATGGTTGCTTTTATGAATGTTAGGAGAGGAGAGAAAGGGAGAATTGGGTAATTTATACTGACATCTACGATGCTTTTCTGTAGTAATTAGGTGGGGTTTTTTTGTCTATCATTCTGGGTTTTTACTGTCTGGAAAGCAGTAAATCACATAAAACAATAGAAAGTTTAGACTACAATAGTATAGTAAGTTTTTTATAACCAATTTTTAAATAGAGCTTAATATTAGAAATGATGATAATGCATTTGCTCATTAAATTGCTTGCACTCAATATAAAGGCTATTTAGTGGGAAAAGTGTCAAAATTTATTTCATCCTAATTATTTGTATGTAATTGGAAGAGAATAAGGGACTATCTTCCATTATGAAAGGATATTGTACGGTTGATAATTGAGTATCAAGCTTAAGTTTTCCTATAGCTCTTTCAGAGTGGTAAATGAACTGAATTACATTTACCCAATAATATGGACTGTTACTATTTATCTCTTGGTCTTTTCTTACTTTTAAATATAATTCATTTTTTATGACTAATTTATTAAAGTTTCAATATTAGTAAATTCCTACCTACATATGGATCTTCCTGTGAATGTTGGCTATACAAATCACAATGGGATTTTGAAGACAAATGCCATATTTTTAGAATTAGCCAAGAAATACAATAAATTTAGGATGTGTTTGTGATTTTGGAGTATTAGCAATTGTCTTTCTGAACCTCAGTATCTAATTTTATAATATGTAACAGTTGGATAAAAGCTGACATCACAAGTTCAAAGCTAATATGTGTACATAAAATTCTATCTAGACAGTCAACTGAAGGCACTAACTGAAAAAAACAAAGAACTTGAAGTTGCTCAGGATCGCAATACTTCCATTCAGGTCAGTTATTCGTATGCAAAAATTTAATTGTAAACATGATACATGAAGAGGTTTTGTATTCTGATTGTACTTAATAGTTTTTTTTTCTTTTTAAGATTTACTTTACTTATGCTTGTAAGAGCTGTGGTGTAGGGCAGAGGTGTGGTGGGTGAGAGGATTCACTAGAGACACAGTGGGGAGCAGAGCTAGCAGATCTGAATTATACTGTTGAGAGGAGCAGCGGGAAAGACAGGAGAGGTCTGCCCTGCCTTTTACTCAATGGGGAGATAAAACACATATTATTAAGAGAAACTACTAACAAAAACAAAACGAAAATCCTTAATTGCTCCCTTTTTTTTTTTTTTTAAAGATTTATTCATTTATGCATACAGAACCGGGTAAAGACCAGAGATGCAAGGACAGTGAGGGGTTTCTTATTTGACAGAGTGGGGAGCAGAACAGGCAGAACGACGAAATACACTGCTGAGAGGAGCAGCAGGCGGGTCAGGAGAGGTCTGCCGTGCCATGTGGGTCACCTCTGGGGCAGGCAGGGATCAAACTCATGCTGAAGTGGCTTTGGCTTCTAAGTGCTGTGCTTTAACCCTC